CTGTGGGTCTCTATGGGTCTCTATGGGTCTCTGTGGGTGTCTATGGGTCTCTATGGGTCTCTATGGGTCTCTGTGGGTCTCTATGGGTCTCTGTGGGTCTCTATGGGTCTCTATGGGTCTCTGTGGGTCTCTATGGGTCTCTATGGGTCTCTGTGGGTCTCTGTGGGTCTCTGTGTGTCTCTATGGGTCTCTATGGGTCTATGTGGGTGTCTATGGGTCTCTATGGGTCTCTATGGGTCTCTATGGGTCTCTATGGGTCTCTGTGGGTCTCTATGGGTCTCTATGGGTCTCTGTGGGTCTCTATGGGTCTATGTGGGTCTCTATGGGTCTCTGTGTGTCTCTATGGGTCTCTATGGGTCTCTATGGGTCTCTGTGGGTCTCTATGGGTCTCTGTGGGTGTCTATGGGTCTCTGTGAGTCTCTGTGGGTCTCTGTGGGTCTCTATGGGTCTCTATGGGTCTCTGTGGGTCTCTATGGGTGTCTATGGGTCTCTATGCGTCTCTATGGGTCTCTGTGGGTGTCTATGGGTCTCTATGGGTCTCTGTGGGTCTCTATGGGTCTCTGTGGGTCTCTGTGGGTCTCTATGGGTCTCTGTGGGTCTCTGTGAGTCTCTATGCGTCTCTATGGGTCTCTATGGGTCTCTATGGGTGTCTGTGGGTCTCTGTGGGTGTCTATGGGTCTCTGTGGTTCTCTGTGGGTCTCTATGGGTCTCTATGGGTCTATGTGGGTCTCTATGGGTCTCTATGGGTCTCTGTGTGTCTCTATGAGTCTCTGTGGGTCTCTGTGGGTCTCTATGGGTGTCTATGGGTATCTATGGGTCTCTATGGGTCTCTATGGGTCTCTATGGGTCTCTGTGGGTCTCTATGGGTCTCTGTGGGTCTCTGTGGGGTCTCTGTGGGTCTCTATGGGTGTCTATGGGTCTCTGTAGGTCTCTGTGGGTCTCTGTGGGTGTCTATGGGTCTCTGTGTGTCTCTATGAGTGTCTCTATGGGTGTCTATGGGTCTCTATGGGTGTCTATGGGTCTCTGTGGGGTCTCTGTGGGTCTCTGTGGGTGTCTATGGGTCTCTATGGGTGTCTCTGTGGGTGTCTATGAGTCTCTATGGGTCTCTATGGGTGTCTATGGGTCTCTGTGGGTCTCTATGGGTCTCTATGGGTCTCTATGGGTGTCTATGGGTCTCTGTGGGTCTCTATGGGTGTCTCTGTGGGTGTCTATGGGTCTCTATGGGTGTCTCTGTGGGTGTCTATGAGTCTCTATGGGTCTCTATGGGTGTCTATGGGTCTCTGTGGGTCTCTATGGGTCTCTATGGGTCTCTATGGGTGTCTATGGGTCTCTGTGGGTCTCTATGGGTGTCTCTGTGGGTCTCTATGGGTCTCTATGGGTCTCTATGGGTGTCTATGGGTCTCTGTGGGTCTCTATGGGTGTCTCTGTGGGTCTCTATGGGTGTCTCTGTGGGTCTCTATGGGTCTCTATGGGTGTCTCTGTGAGTCTCTATGGGTCTCTATGGGTGTCTATGGGTCTCTGTGTGTGTCTGTGGGTCTCTATGGGTCTCTGTGGGTCTCTATGGGTCTCTATGGGTCTCTATGGGTGTCTCTATGGGTCTCTGTGGGTGTCTATGGGTCTCTGTGGGTCTCTATGGGTCTCTATGGGTCTCTATGGGTGTCTATGGGTCTCTATGGGTCTCTATGGGTGTCTCTGTGAGTCTCTATGGGTCTCTATGGGTGTCTATGGGTCTCTGTGTGTGTCTGTGCGTCTCTATGGGTCTCTATGGGTCTCTATGGGTGTCTCTATGGGTCTCTATGGGTCTCTATGGGTCTCTATAGGTGTCTCTGTGGGTCTCTGTGGGTCTCTATGGCTCTCTATGGGTGTCTCTGTGGGTCTCTATGGGTCTCTATGGGTCTCTGTGGGTCTCTATGGGTCTCTGTGGGTCTCTATGGGTGTCTCTGTGGGTCTCTATGAGTCTCTATGAGTCTCTGTGGGTCTCTATGGGTCTCTGTGGGTCTCTATGGGTCTCTGTGGGTCTCTATGGGTCTCTGTGGGTCTCTATGGGTCTCTGTGGGTCTCTATGGGTGTCTCTGTGGGTCTCTATGAGTCTCTGTGGGTCTCTGTGGGTCTCTATGGGTCTCTATGGGTCTCTGTGGGTGTCTATGGGTCTCTATGGGTCTCTATGGGTCTCTGTGGGTCTCTATGGGTCTCTGTGGGTCTCTGTGGGTCTCTATGGGTCTCTATGGGTCTCTGTGGGTCTCTATGGGTCTCTATGGGTCTCTGTGGGTCTCTATGGGTCTCTATGGGTCTCTGTGGGTCTCTGTGGGTCTCTGTGTGTCTCTATGGGTCTCTATGGGTCTATGTGGGTGTCTATGGGTCTCTATGGGTCTCTATGGGTCTCTATGGGTCTCTATGGGTCTCTGTGGGTCTCTATGGGTCTCTATGGGTCTCTGTGGGTCTCTATGGGTCTATGTGGGTCTCTATGGGTCTCTGTGTGTCTCTATGGGTCTCTATGGGTCTCTGTGGGTCTCTGTGAGTCTCTGTGCGTTTCTGTGGGTGTCTGTGTGTGTCTGTGGGTCTCTATGGGTGTCTGTGGGTGTCTATGGGTCTCTGTGTGTCTCTGTGGGTCTCTGTGGGTGTCTATGGGTCTCTGTGGGTGTCTATGGGTGTCTATGGGTGTCTATGGGTCTCTGTGGGGTCTCTGTAGGTCTCTGTGGGTGTCTAAGGGTCTCTGTGGGTCTCTGTGGGTGTCTATGGGTCTCTATGGGTCTCTGTGGGTCTCTATGGGTCTCTATGGGTCTCTATGGGTCTCTGTGGGTCTCTATGTGAGTCTCTGTGGGTCTCTATGGGTGTCTCTGTGGGTCTCTATGGGTGTCTCTATGGGTCTCTATGGGTGTCTCTGTGGGTCTCTATGGGTGTCTCTGTGGGTCTCTATGGGTGTCTCTGTGGGTCTCTATGGGTGTCTCTGTGGGTCTCTATGGGTGTCTCTGTGGGTCTCTATGGGTCTATGTGGGTCTCTGTGTGTGTCTATGGGTGTCTCTGTGGGTCTCTATGGGTGTCTGTGGGTCTCTGTGTGTGTCTGTGGGTCTCTATGGGTCTCTATGGGTGTCTATGGGTGTCGATGGGTCTCTGTGGGTCTCTATGGGTGTCTATTGGTCTCTATGGGTGTCTTTGGGTCTATGTGGGTCACTATGGGTGTCTGTGCGTCTCTGTGTGTGACTGTGGGTGTCTATGGGTGTCTATGGGTGTCTATGGGTCTCTATGGGTGTCTGTGGGTCTCTGTGTGTGTCTGTGGGTGTCTATGGGTGTCTATGAGTCTCTGTGGGTCTCTGTGGGTCTCTATGGGTCTCTATGAGTCTCTGTGGGTCTCTATGGGTCTCTATGGGTCTCTATGGGTCTCTGTGGGTCTCTATGGGTCTCTGTGGATCTCTGTGTGTGTCTGTGGGTGTCTATGGGTCTCTGTGGATGTCTGTGAGTCTCTGTGGGTCTCTGTGGGTGTCTATGGGTGTCTCTGTGGGTCTCTGTGGGTCTCTATGGGTGTCTATGGGTGTCTGAGCGTTTCTGTGGGTGTCTATGAGTCTCTGTGTGTGTCTGTGGGTCTCTGTGGGTCTCTATGGGTCTCTATGGGTGTCTATGGGTCTCTGTGGGTCTCTATGGGTCTCTATGGGTCTCTGTGGGTCTCTATGGGTCTCTATGGGTCTCTATGGGTCTCTATGGGTCTCTGTGGGTCTCTATGGGTCTCTATGGGTCTCTGTGGTTCTCTGTGGGTCTCTATGGGTGTCTATGGGTCTCTATGGGTGTCTATGGGTCTCTATGGGTCTCTGTGGTTCTCTGTGGGTCTCTATGGGTCTCTGTGGGTCTCTATGAGTCTCTGTGGGTCTCTGTGGGTGTCTATGGGTCTCTATGGGTGTCTATGGGTCTCTATGGGTCTCTGTGGTTCTCTGTGGGTCTCTATGGGTCTCTGTGGGTCTCTATGAGTCTCTGTGGGTCTCTGTGGGTGTCTGTGGGTCTCTATGGGTGTCTCTGTGGGTCTCTATGGGTCTATGTGGGTCTCTGTGTGTGTCTATGGGTGTCTCTGTGGGTCTCTATGGGTGTCTCTGTGGGTCTCTATGGGTCTCTGTGGGTCTCTGTGTGTCTCTATGAGTCTCTGTGGGTCTATGTGGGTCTCTATGGGTGTCTCTATGGGTCTATGTGGGTCTCTGTGTGTCTCTATGAGTCTCTGTGGGTCTATGTGGGTCTCTATGGGTGTCTCTATGGGTCTCTATGGGTGTCTCTATGGGTGTCTATGGGTCTCTATGAGTCTCTGTGGGTGTCTATGGGTCTCTATGGGTGTCTCTGTGGGTGTCTATGGGTCTCTATGGGTGTCTCTATGGGTGTCTATGGGTCTCTATGAGTCTCTGTGGGTGTCTATGGGTCTCTATGGGTGTCTCTATGGGTGTCTATGAGTCTCTATGAGTCTCTGTGGGTGTCTATGGGTCTCTATGGGTGTCTCTGTGGGTGTCTATGGGTCTCTATGGGTGTCTCTGTGGGTGTCTATGGGTCTCTATGGGTGTCTCTATGGGTGTCTATGGGTCTCTATGAGTCTCTGTGGGTGTCTATGGGTCTCTATGGGTGTCTCTATGGGTGTCTATGAGTCTCTATGAGTCTCTGTGGGTGTCTATGGGTCTCTATGGGTGTCTCTGTGGGTGTCTATGGGTCTCTATGGGTGTCTCTGTGGGTGTCTCTGTGGGTCTCTATGGGTGTCTCTATGGGTGTCTATGGGTCTCTATGAGTCTCTCCATTGATCGCCCCCTCGCCCCTCCCCCATCTCCCTGGCCCCTCCCCCATCCTCCCCTCGCCCCTCCCCCCACGTCACCATCGGCCAATCCCCACCTTCCTCGCCCCTCCCACCACCATCCCTCGCCCCTCCCACCATCACCCTTGCCCCTCCCACCACCTCCCTCGGCCCCTCCCACCACCATCGCTCGCCCCTCCCACAACGCCCGCTCGCCCATCCCCCTCCCAACCGCCAAACGCAGGCTCCTGGTTGGCTACACCAGGGCGATGCCCAACGCCTCCATGCACCACGTGGTCAACCTCACCGACATATCCCTGCGCGCGGCAAAGCGGTGCTGCGTTGCCGGGGCAACGGAGGCGGCGGAGGGAGCCTGCTTCGACGCGGAGGTGAGGAGGGGGGGTGTTGAGGGGGGGGGGCGTGGCCCTAAAGTCTGTATTGATTGGTTGATAGTGGGGGTGTGTGGTCTATAAGTTTGCATTGATTGGTTAATTGTTGGGGGGTGGTCCATAAGTTTGGACGCATATGGACTTTGCATTGATTGGTTGATTGTGGTGGGCGTGGCCCATAAGTCTGGACACATACGGACTTTGCATTGATTGGTTGATAGTGGTGGGTGTGGGGGTAGAGGTGGCCCATAAGTCTGGACACATAGGGACTTTGCATTGATTGGTTGATTGTGGTGGGCGTGGCCCATAAGTCTGGACACATACGGACTTTGCATTGATTGGTTGATAGTGGTGGGTGTGGGGGTAGAGGTGGCCCATAAGTCTGGACACATAGGGTCGTTGCATTGATTGGTTGATTGTGATGGGGTGGGAGAGTTCCATATGGACTTTGCATTGATTGGTTGATAGTGGGGGAGTCGGCTGGGGGTGGCCCATAAGTCTGGACACATGGGGACTCTGCATTGATTGGTTGATTGTGAGGGGGGGTGGCCCATAAGTCTGGACACATAGGGACTTTGCATTGATTGGTTGATTGTGGTGGGTGTGGGGGTAGGGGTGGCCCATAAGTCTGGACACATAGGGTCTTTGCATTGACTGGTTGATTGTGATGGGGTGGGAGAGTTCCATATGGACTTTGCATTGATTGGTTGATAGTGGGGGAGTCGGCTGGGGGTGGCCCATAAGTCTGGACACATAGGGACTTTGCATTGATTGGTTGATTGTGGTGGGCGTGGCCCATAAGTCTGGACACATACGGACTTTGCATTGATTGGTTGATAGTGGTGGGTGTGGGGGTAGAGGTGGCCCATAAGTCTGGACACATAGGGACTTTGCATTGATTGGTTGATTGTGGTGGGCGTGGCCCATAAGTCTGGACACATACGGACTTTGCATTGATTGGTTGATAGTGGTGGGTGTGGGGGTAGAGGTGGCCCATAAGTCTGGACACATAGGGTCGTTGCATTGATTGGTTGATTGTGATGGGGTGGGAGAGTTCCATATGGACTTTGCATTGATTGGTTGATAGTGGGGGAGTCGGCTGGGGGTGGCCCATAAGTCTGGACACATGGGGACTCTGCATTGATTGGTTGATTGTGAGGGGGGGTGGCCCATAAGTCTGGACACATAGGGACTTTGCATTGATTGGTTGATTGTGGTGGGTGTGGGGGTAGGGGTGGCCCATAAGTCTGGACACATAGGGTCTTTGCATTGATTGGTTGATTGTGATGGGGTGGGAGAGTTCCATATGGACTTTGCATTGATTGGTTGATAGTGGGGGAGTCGGCTGGGGGTGGCCCATAAGTCTGGACACATAGGGACTTTGCATTGATTGGTTGATTGTGATGGGCGTGGCCCATAAGTCTGGACACATACGGACTTTGCATTGATTGGTTGATAGTGGTGGGTGTGGGGGTAGAGGTGGCCCATAAGTCTGGACACATAGGGTCGTTGCATTGATTGGTTGATTGTGATGGGGTGGGAGAGTTCCATATGGACTTTGTATTGATTGGTTGATAGTGGGGGAGTCGGCTGGGGGTGGCCCATAAGTCTGGACACATGGGGACTTTGCATTGATTGGTTGATTGTGGTGGGCGTGGCCCATAAGTCTGGACACATAGGGACTTTGCATTGATTGGTTGATAGTGGGGGGTGTGGGGGTAGGAGTGGCCCATAAGTCTGGACACATAGGGTCGTTGCATTGATTGGTTGATTGTGATGGGGTGGGAGAGGACGCATATGGACTTTGCATTGATTGGTTGATAGTGGGGGAGTCGGCTGGGGGTGGCCCATAAGTCTGGACACATGGGGACTTTGCATTGATTGGTTGATTGTGGTGGGCGTGGCCCATAAGTCTGGACACATAGCGACTTTGCATTGATTGGTTGATTGTGAGGGGGGGGTGGGGGGTGGCCCATAAGTCTGGACAAATATGGACTTTAAATTGATTGGTTGATAGTGGCGGAGGCGGCTGGGCGTGGCCCATAAGTCTGGACACATAGGGACTTTGCATTGATTGGTTGATTGTGGTGGTGTGGGCGTGGCCCATAAGTCTGGACACATATGGACTTTGCATTGATTGGTTGATTGTGTGTGGGGGGTGGGGGTGGCCCATAAGTCTGGACACATAGGGACTTTGCATTGATTGGTTGATAGTGGGGGAGTCGGCTGGGGGTGGCCCATAAGTCTGGACACATGGGGACTTTGCATTGATTGATTGATTGTGGTGGGCGTGGCCCATAAGTCTGGACACATAGCGACTTTGCATTGATTGGTTGATTGTGAGGGGGGGGTGGGGGGTGGCCCATAAGTCTGGACACATAGGGACTTTGATTTGATTGGTTGATTGTGTGTGGAGGGGGGGGTGGCCCATAAGTCTGGACACATAGGGACTTTGCATTGATTGGTTGATTGTTAGGGGGGGTGGGGGGGGTGGCCCATAAGTCTGGACACATAGGGACTTTGCTTTGATTGGTTGATTGTGAGTGGGGTGGGGGGTGGCCCATAAGTCTGGACACATAGGGACTTTGCATTGATTGGTTGATAGTGGTGGTGTGGGGGTAGGGGTGGCCCATAAGTCTGGACACATAGGGACTTTGTTTTGATTGGTTGATAGTGGGCGAGTCGGCTGGGGGTGGCCCATATGTCTGGACACATAGGGACTTTGCTTTGATTGGTTGATTGTTAGGGGGGTTAGGGGTGGCCCATAAGTCTGGACACATAGGGGCTTTGATTTGATTGGTTGATAGTGGGGGGGGTGTGGGGGTGGGGGGTGGCCCATAAGTCTGGACACATAGGGACTTTGCATTGATTGGTTGATAGTGGGGGGGGGGTGGGGGGTGGCCCATAAGTCTGGACACATAGGGACTTTGATTTGATTGGTTGATTGTTAGGGGGGGTGGGGGGTGGCCCATAAGTCTGGACACATAGGGACTTTGATTTGATTGGTTGATTGTGGTGGTGTGTGGGCGTGGCCCATAAGTCTGGACACATAGGGACTTTGATTTGATTGGTTGATTGTGTGTGGGGGGGGTGGCCCATAAGTCTGGACACATAGGGACTTTGATTTGATTGGTTGATTGTGGTGGTGTGTGGGCGTGGCCCATAAGTCTGGACACATAGGGACTTTGATTTGATTGGTTGATTGTGGTGGGGTGTGGGGGTGGCCCATAAGTCTGGACACATAGGGACTCTGCATTGATTGGTTGATTGTGGTTGGGGTAGGGGTGGCCCATAAGTCTGGACACATAGGGACTTTGATTTGATTGGTTGATAGTGGGGGGTGTGGGGGTGGGGGGTGGCCCATAAGTCTGGACACATAGGGACTTTGCATTGATTGGTTGATTGTGTGGGGGGTGGGCGTGGCCCATAAGTCTGGACACATAGGGACTTTGATTTGATTGGTTGATTGTGTGTGGGGGGTGGGGGGTGGCCCATAAGTCTGGACACATAGCGACTTTGATTTGATTGGTTGATTGTTAGGGGGGTTGGGGGTGGCCCATATGTCTGGACACATAGGGACTTCGCAATGATTGGTTGATTGTGGTGGTGTGGGCGTGGCCCATAAGTCTGGACACATAGGGACTTTGATTTGATTGATTGATTGTGTGGGGGGGGGGGGGGTGGCCCATAAGTCTGGACACATAGGGACTTTGCATTGATTGGTTGATTGTGTGTGGGGTTGGGGGGTGGCCCATAAGTCTGGACACATAGGGACTTTGCTTTGATTGGTTGATAGTGGGGGGTGTGGGGGGTGGGCGGTGGCCCATAAGTCTGGACACATAGCGACTTTGATTTGATTGGTTGATTGTGTGTGGGGTGGGGGGTGGCCCATAAGTCTGGACACATAGGGACTTTGCTTTGATTGGTTGATTGTGTGTGGGGTGGGGGGGGGTGGCCCATAAGTCTGGACACATATGGACTTTGCATTGATTGGTTGATTGTGATGGGCGTGGCCCATAAGTCTGGACACATAGGGACTTTGATTTGATTGGTTGATTGTGAGTTGGGGTGGGGGTGGCCCATAAGTCTGGACACATAGGGACTATGCGTTGATTGGTTGATTGTTTGGGGGGGTGGGGGTGGCCCATAAGTCTGGACACATAGGGACTTTGCTTTGATTGGTTGATTGTGGTGGTGGGGGGTGGCCCATAAGTCTGGACACATAGCGACTTTGCTTTGATTGGTTGATTGTTGTGGGGTGTGGGGGGGTGGCCCATAAGTCTGGACACATAGGGACTTTGCATTGATTGGTTGATTGTTAGGGGGGGTGGGCGTGGCCCATAAGTCTGGACACATAGGGACTTTGCATTGATTGGTTGATTGTGAGTTGGGGTGGGGGGGGTGGCCCATAAGTCTGGACACATAGGGACTTTGCTTTGATTGGTTGATAGTGGGGGGGTGTGGGGGTGGGGGGTGGCCCATAAGTCTGGACACATAGGGACTTTGATTTGATTGGTTGATTGTGTGTGGGGGGTGGGGGGTGGCCCATAAGTCTGGACACATAGCGACTTTGATTTGATTGGTTGATTGTGTGTGGGGTGGGGGGTGGCCCATAAGTCTGGACACATAGGGACTTTGCATTGATTGGTTGATTGTGTGTGGGGGGTGGGGGGTGGCCCATAAGTCTGGACACATAGGGACTTTGCTTTGATTGGTTGATTGTGGTTGGGGTGGGGGGGATGGCCCATAAGTCTGGACACATAGGGACTTTGCTTTGATTGGTTGATAGTGGGGGGTGTGGGGTGGCCCATAAGTCTGGACACATAGGGACTTTGCATTGATTGGTTGATTGTGAGTTGGGGTGTGGGGGTGGCCCATAAGTCTGGACACATAGGGACTTTGCATTGATTGGTTGATTGTGTGTGGGGGGTAGGGGTGGCCCATAAGTCTGGACACATAGGGACTTTGCATTGATTGGTTGATTGTGTGTGGGGGGTAGGGGTGGCCCATAAGTCTGGACACATAGGGACTTTGCTTTGATTGGTTGATTGTGTGTGGGGGGTAGGGGTGGCCCATAAGTCTGGACACATAGGGACTTTGCATTGATTGGTTGATTGTGTGTGGGGGGTAGGGGTGGCCCATAAGTCTGGACACATAGGGACTTTGCTTTGATTGGTTGATTGTGTGTGGGGGGTGGGGGGTGGCCCATAAGTCTGGACACATAGGGACTTTGCTTTGATTGGTTGATTGTGAGTTGGGGTGGGGGTGGCCCATAAGTCTGGACACATAGGGACTTTGCTTTGATTGGTTGATTGTGTGTGGGCGTGGCCCATAAGTCTGGACACATAGGGACTTTGATTTGATTGGTTGATTGTGTGGGGGGGTGGGGGGTGGCCCATAAGTCTGGACACATAGGGACTTTGCTTTGATTGGTTGATTGTGAGTTGGGTTGGGGGTGGCCCATAAGTCTGGACACATAGGGACTTTGCATTGATTGGTTGATTGTTAGGGGAGTTAGGGGTGGCCCATAAGTCTGGACACATAGGGACTTTGATTTGATTGGTTGATTGTGTGGGGGGGTGTGGGGTGGCCCATAAGTCTGGACACATAGGGACTTTGCATTGATTGGTTGATTGTGTGTGGGCGTGGCCCATAAGTCTGGACACATAGGGACTTTGCATTGATTGGTTGATTGTGTGTGGGGGTGGGGGGTGGCCCATAAGTCTGGACACATAGCGACTTTGTTTTGATTGGTTGATAGTGGTGGGTGTGGGGGTAGGGGTGGCCCATAAGTCTGGACACATAGGGACTTTGCTTTGATTGGTTGATTGTGGTGGTGTGGGGGGGGGGGGGGTGGCCCATAAGTCTGGACACATAAGGACTTTGCATTGATTGGTTGATTGTGGTGTGTGGGCGTGGCCCATAAGTCTGGACACATAGGGGCTTTGATTTGATTGGTTGATAGTGGGGGGGTGTGGGGGTGGGGGGTGGCCCATAAGTCTGGACACATAGGGACTTTGCTTTAATTGGTTGATTGTGGTGGGGTGGGCGTGGCCCATAAGTCTGGACACAAAGCGACTTTGCATTGATTGGTTGATTGTTAGGGGGGGTGGCCCATAAGTCTGGACACATAGGGACTTTGCTTTGATTGGTTGATTGTGGTGGGTGTGGGGGTAGGGGTGGCCCATATGTCTGGACACATAGGGACTTCGCAATGATTGGTTGATTGTGGTGGTGTGGGCGTGGCCCATAAGTCTGGACACATAGCGACTTTGCATTGATTGGTTGATTGTGAGTTGGGTTGGGGGTGGCCCATAAGTCTGGACACATAGGGACTTTGCTTTGATTGGTTGATAGTGGGGGGTGTGGGGGTAGGGGTGGCCCATAAGTCTGGACACATAGGGACTTTGATTTGATTGGTTGATTGTGGTGGTGTGTGGGCGTGGCCCATAAGTCTGGACACATAGGGACTTTGTTTTGATTGGTTGATTGTGGTGGGGTGGGGGGTGGCCCATAAGTCTGGACACATAGGGACTTTGCTTTGATTGGTTGATTGTGTGTGGGGTTGGGGGTGGCCCATAAGTCTGGACACATAGGGACTTTGCGTTGATTGGTTGATTGTGTGTGGGGGGGGGGGGGTGGCCCATAAGTCTGGACACATAGGGACTTTGTTTTGATTGGTTGATTGTTAGGGGGGTGTGGGGGGTGGCCCATAAGTCTGGACACATAGGGACTTTGCTTTGATTGGTTGATTGTGGTGGGGTGGGGGGTGGCCCATAAGTCTGGACACATAGGGACTTTGCTTTGATTGGTTGATAGTGGGGGGTGTGGGGGGTGGGGGTGGCCCATAAGTCTGGACACATAGGGACTTTGATTTGATTGGTTGATTGTGGTGGTGTGGGGGGTGGCCCATAAGTCTGGACACATAGGGACTTTGCATTGATTGGTTGATTGTGAGTTGGGGTGGGGGGGGTGGCCCATAAGTCTGGACACATAGGGACTTTGCTTTGATTGGTTGATTGTTAGTGGGGGTGGGGGGGGTGGCCCATAAGTCTGGACACATAGGGACTTTGCTTTGATTGGTTGATTGTGGTGGGTGTGGGGGGTGGGGGTGGCCCATAAGTCTGGACACATAGCGACTTTGCTTTGATTGGTTGATTGTGGTGGGGTGGGGGTGGCCCATAAGTCTGGACACATAGGGACTTTGCTTTGATTGGTTGATTGTGGTGGGGGTGGGGGTGGCCCATAAGTCTGGACACATAGGGACTTTGCTTTGATTGGTTGATTGTGTGTGGGGGGTAGGGGTGGCCCATAAGTCTGGACACATAGGGACTTTGATTTGATTGGTTGATAGTGGGGGGTGTGGGGGGTGGCCCATAAGTCTGGACACATAGGGACTTTGCATTGATTGGTTGATTGTGGTGGGGTGGGGGGTGGCCCATAAGTCTGGACACATAGGGACTTTGCTTTGATTGGTTGATTGTGTGTGGGGGGGGGGGGGGGGTGGCCCATAAGTCTGGACACATAGCGACTTTGATTTGATTGGTTGATAGTGTGTGGGGTGGGGGGTGGGGGGTGGCCCATAAGTCTGGACACATAGGGACTTTGTTTTGATTGGTTGATAGTGGTGGTGTGTGGGGGTGGGGGGTGGCCCATAAGTCTGGACACATAGGGACTTTGCATTGATTGGTTGATTGTGATGGGGTGTGGGGGGGGGTGGCCCATAAGTCTGGACACATAGGGACTTTGCTTTGATTGGTTGATTGTGTGTGGGGGTGGGCGTGGCCCATAAGTCTGGACACATAGGGACTTTGTTTTGATTGGTTGATTGTGAGTTGGGGTGGGGGGTGGCCCATAAGTCTGGACACATAGGGACTTTGCATTGATTGGTTGATTGTGTGTGGGGGGTAGGGGTGGCCCATAAGTCTGGACACATAGGGACTTTGCATTGATTGGTTGATTGTGGTGGTGTGTGGGCGTGGCCCATAAGTCTGGACACATAGGGACTTTGCATTGATTGGTTGATTGTGGTGGGTGTGGGGGGTGGCCCATAAGTCTGGACACATAGCGACTTCGCAATGATCGGTTGCTAATGGTGCGGCCCATCTCTCCCATCTCTCCCATCCACCTCTCCACCACCTCTCCACCTCTCCACCTCTCCACCTCTCCACCACCTCTCCACCACCTCTCCACCACCGCGGCTCAAACCCCCAAAACCCGCAGCTGCACTTGCACTTTGACCAAATCTGCGTGCGAGCGAGCGAGCCCAGCGGGACTTCCGCGGCCCTGCTGCACTGCTGCACCCTCGATCAGGTGGAGGCGAGGGATCGCTGCCTCGCCGGGCTGCCGAGATCTCACGACGGCGACCTCGAGGTGGCGGGGGTCGGGGCGGGGTCAAAGCCTCCACCGCCTCAGGCGCCGCCGGAGTTCAAGGGGGACATCTGCAAGGAGCACGCCGAGGAGAACGCACGGCTCTATGATTGGTGAGGTTGGTGAGTGGTGAGTGGTGGTGGTGGTGGTGGTGGGATGGAACCCACGACCTCCTGTAGACCAGGCGAGGTAGTTAACATCTCTGTGTGTGATGGTGGTGGTGGTGGTGGTGATGGTGGTGAGGGTGGTGGTGGTGGTGGTGGTGGTAATGGTGGTGGTGGTGGTGGTGGTGGAGGTGGGATAGAACCCACGACCTCCTGTATACCAGGCGAGGTAGTCAACATCTCTGTGTGTGATGGTGGTGGTGGTGGTGGTGAGGGTGGTGAGGGTGGTAGTGGTGGTGGTGGTGGTGGTAGTGGTGGTGATGGTGGTGGTGATGGTGGTGGTGGTGGTGGAAGTGGGATAGAACCCACGACCTCCTGTACACCAGGCGAGGTAGTCAACATCTCTGTGTGTGTCTCAAATCAGAACCCACGACCTCCTGTAGACCAGGCGAGGTAGTCAACATCTCTGTGTGTGATGGTGGTGGTGGTGGTGGTGAGGGTGGTGGTGGTGGTGATGGTGGTGGTGATGGTGGTGGTGGTGGTGGGATAGAACCCACGACCTCCTGTATACCAGGCGAGGTAGTCAACATCTCCCAGTGTCTGGGGATAGAACCCACGACCTCCTGTAGACCAGGCGAGGTAGTCAACATCTCTGTGTGTGTCTCAAATCAGAACCCACGACCTCCTGTAGACCAGGCGAGGTAGTCAACATCTCTGTGTGTGATGGTGGTGGTGGTGGTGGTGAGGGTGGTGGTGGTGGTGATGGTGGTGGTGATGGTGGTGGTGGTGGTGGTGTAATTGGGATGGAACCCACGACCTCCTGTATACCAGGCGAGGTAGTCAACATCTCTGTGTGTGATGGTGGTGGTGGTGGTGGTGGTGAGGGTGGTGGTGGTGGTGGTGAGGGTGGTGGTGGTGGTGGTGATGGTGGTGGTGGGATGGAACCCACGACCTCCTGTATACCAGGCGAGGTAGTCAACATCTCTGTGTGTGATGGTGGTGGTGGTGGTGGTGGTGATGGTGGTGAGGGTGGTGGTGGTGGTGGTGGTGATGGTGGTGGTGGTGATGGTGGTGGTGGGATAGAACCCACGACCTCCTGTATACCAGGCGAGGTAGTCAACATCTCTGTGTGTGATGGTGGTGGTGGTGGTGGTGAGGGTGAGGGTGGTGGTGGTGATGGTGGTGGTGATGGTGGTGGTGATGGTGGTGGTGATGGTGGTGGTGGTGGTGGTGGAAGTGGGATAGAACCCACGACCTCCTGTACACCAGGCGAGGTAGTCAACATCTCTGTGTGTGATGGTGGTGGTGATGGTGGTGGTGGTGGTGAGGGTGAGGGTGGTGGTGATGGTGGTGGTGGAGGTGGGATAGAACCCACGACCTCCTGTATACCAGGCGAGGTAGTCAACGTCTCTCTGTGTGTTTGAGATGGAACCCACGACCTCCTGTAGACCAGGCGAGGTAGTCAACATCTCTGTGTGTGTCTCAAATCAGAACCCACGACCTCCTGTATACCAGGCGAGGTGGTCAACATCTCTGTGTGTGTCTCAGATAGAACCCACGACTACCTGTAGACCAAGCGAGGTGGTCAACATCTCTGTGTGTGTTTGAGATGGAACCCACGACCTCCTGTATACCAGGCGAGGTAGTCAACGTCTCTGTGTGTGTCTCAGATAGAACCCACGACTACCTGTATACCAGGCGAGGTAGTCAACATCTCTGTGTGTGATGGTGGTGGTGGTGAGGGTGGTGATGGTGGTGATGGTGGTGGTGGTGGAGGTGGGATAGAACCCACGACCTCCTGTAGACCAGGCGAGGTAGTCAACATCTCTCTGTGTGTGTCTGGGGTAGAACCCACGACTTCCTGTATACCAGGCGAGGTAGTCAACATCTCTCTGTGTGTGTCTGTGATGGAACCCATGACTACCTGTACACCAGGCGAGGTGGTCAACATCTCTCTGTGTGTGATGGTGATGGTGGTGGTGGTGATTATGGAGGAGGTGGTGTTGGTGATGGATGTGAGAGAGATGATGATGATGATGGCGATATAGTCAACATCTCTGTGTGTCTGAGATGGAACCCACGACTACCTGTAGACCAGGCGAGGTAGTCAACATCTCTGTATGTGTCTGTGATGGAACCCACGACCTCCTGTAGACCAGGCGAGGTAGTCAACATCTCTCTGTGTGTTTGAGATCGAACCCACGACCTCCTGTAGACCAGGCGAGGTAGTCAACATCTCTGTGTGTGTTTGAGATCGAACCCACGACCTCCTGTAGACCAGGCGAGGTAGTCAACATCTCTGTGTGTGTGTCTGTGATGGAACCCACGACTACCTGTACACCAGGCGAGGTAGTCAACATCTCTCTGTGTGTGTCTGTGATGGAACCCACGACTACCTGTACACCAGGCGAGGTAGTCAACATCTCTCTGTGTGTGTTTGAGATGGAACCCATGACTACCTGTACACCAGGCGAGGTAGTCAACATCTCTCTGTGTGTGTCTGTGATAGAACCCACGACTACCTGTACACCAGGCGAGGTAGTCAACATCTCTGTGTGTGTGTCTCAGATAGAACCCACGACCTCCTGTAGACCAGGCGAGGTAGTCAACATCTCTCTGTGTGTCTCAGATAGAACCCACGACCTCCTGTACACCAGGCGAGGTAGTCAACATCTCTCTGTGTGTGTGTCTCAGATGGAACCCACGACTACCTGTACACCAGGCGAGGTAGTCAACATCTCTCTGTGTGTGTGTCTGTGATGGAACCCACGACTACCTGTACACCAGGCGAGGTAGTCAACATCTCTGTGTGTGATGGTGGTGGTTGTAGTGGTGGTGGTGATGGTGGTGTTGATCATGGAGGAGGTGGTGGTGGTGATGGTGGTGGATGGGAGAGAGATGATGATGATGATGGCGAGGTAGTCAACATCTCTGTGTGATTGAGATGGAACCCACGACCTCCTGTAGACCAGGCGAGGTAGTCAACATCTCTGTGTGTGTGTCTGTGATGGAATCCACGACCTCCTGTATACCAGGCGAGGTAGTCAACATCTCTCTGTGTGTGTCTCAGATAGAGCCCACGACTACCTGTATACTAGGCGAGGTAGTCAACATCTCTGTGTGTGTGTCTCAAATCAGAACCCACGACCTCCTGTATACCAGGCGAGGTAGTCAACATCTCTGTTTGTCTCAGATAGAGCCCACGACCTCCTGTAGATCAGGCGAGGTAGTCAACATCTCTCTGTGTGATGGTGGTGGTATTGGTGATGGTGGTGGTGGTGGTGATGAAGGTTGTGGATGGGAGAGAGATGATGATGGCGATGTGGTCAACATCTCTGTGTGTTTGAGATGGAACCCATGACTACCTGTATACCAGGCGAGGTAGTCAACATCTGTGTGTGTGTGATGGTGATGGTGGTGGTGATTATGGAGGAGGTGGTGGTGGTGGATGGGAGAGAGATGATGATGGCGAGGTAGTCAACATCTCTCTGTGTGTGTCTGTGATGGAACCCACGACTACCTGTACACCAGGCGAGGTAGTCAACATCTCTGTGTGTGTGTTTGAGATGGAACCCATGACTACCTGTACACCAGGCGAGGTAGTCAACATCTCTGTGTGTGTTTGAGATGGAACCCACGACCTCCTGTAGACCAGGCGAGGTAGTCAACATCTCGGTGTGTCTGTGATGGAACCCACGACCTCCTGTAGACCAGGCGAGGTAGTTAACATCTGTTTGTGATGGTGGTGGTGGTGATTATGGAGGAGGTGGTGGTGGTGATGGTGGTGGATGGGAGAGAGATGATGATGATGTTGATGGCGAGGTAGTCAACATCTCTGTGTGTGTCTGTGATGGAACCCACGACTACCTGTATATCTGGCGAGGTAGTCAACATCTCTCTGTGTGTGTCTGTGATGGAACCCACGACTACCTGTATACCAGGCGAGGTAGTCAACATCTCTCTGTGTGTGTCTGTGATGGAACCCACGACTACCTGTACACCAGGCGAGGTAGTCAACATCTCTCTGTGTGTGTGTCTGTGATGGAACCCACGACTACCTGTACACCAGGCGAGGTAGTCAACATCTCTGTGTGTGTGTCTGTGATGGAACCCACGACTACCTGTAGACCAGGCGAGGTAGTCAACATCTCTCTGTGTGTGTGTCTGTGATGGAACCCACGACTACCTGTACACCAGGCGAGGTAGTCAACATCTCTGTGTGTGTCTGAGATGGAACCCACAACCTCCTTTATACCAGGCGAGGTAGTCAACATCTCTTTGTGTGATGGTGGTGGTATTGGTGATGGTGGTGGTGGTGGTGAAGGTGGTGTATGGGAGAGAGATGATAATGGCGAGGTGGTGGATGGGAGAGAGATGATGATGGCGAGGTGGTCAACATCTCTGTGTGTGTGTCTGAGATGGAACCCACGACTACCTGTACACCAGGCGAGGTAGTCAACATCTCTCTGTGTGTGTGTGATGGAACCCACGACTACCTGTACACCAGGCGAGGTAGTCAACATCTCTGTGTGTGTGTCTGTGATGGAACCCACGACTACCTGTACACCAGGCGAGGTAGTCAACATCTCTGTGTGTGTGTCTGTGATGGAACCCACGACCTCCTGTAGACCAGGCGAGGTAGTCAACATCTCTGTGTGTGTGTGATGGAACCCACGACTACCTGTAGACCAGGCGAGGTAGTCAACATCTCTGTGTGTGTCTCAGATAGAACCCACGACTACCTGTATACCAGGCGAGGTAGTCAACATCTCTCTGTGTGTCTCAGATAGAACCCACGACTACCTGTACACCAGGCGAGGTAGTCAACATCTCTATGTGTGTCTCAGTTCGAACCCACGACCTCCTGTAGACCAGGCGAGGTAGTCAACATCTCTGTGTGAGTCTGTGATAGAACCCACGACTACCTGTACACCAGGCGAGGTAGTCAACATCTCTGTGTGTGTGTGTCTGTGATGGAACCCACGACTACCTGTACACCAGGCGAGGTA